TTATCAATTTAAAAATTATATTTACAGTTAAAATTGTAAATTAACTGATCTCAAAGATACCCAATACTGAAATTTACTATTTCTCCTAAGGTAGCAGAAGCAAACCAGCTTGTGTTGTAACTTGCTTTTTGGTGACTATAGCAGCTGAAAGTAAATGATTTACTAAAGTCCAGTCATTTTAGCCTCTCTTTGGAAACATTTGTCTGGTGGGAAGACTTTACTCTGACTGTATATTATCTGGTAAAAAAATGCACATAGTATGGATTTATGACTGTTTGGTATTGTCACACTCCTTTAGAGATTACTGTGTGTTTTGGTAACTTATGCAATGTAAGGGCATTATGCTGACAGTCTGCACAGCAGTGAATTTCAGACTGTTCTTAAAATGTAATGGATATGTATTTATACTGATCTGATATGTTGAAGACTACTGTAGAATGTATAATAGGTATATACTGTAACATATAACCACCATCCAAAACACTCAATCCTGCTTCAGATTTGAGAGGTATGTACAATGCTGGCAGCAGCTTTTGCACTGTGCTATACTAGCAAAAAATAAATGGCTTTCATTATATGTGAAATCACGATTACCCTTATTTTTTAAATCCTTGGATTGGATCAATTTGTTTAGACCACAGTATGTCAGTAGCTGTTCATGAACTCCAGTGAAAAACCTACTTTCAGCAAGCTGTTCGAACTAACAGGTGAGGTACTTTCAGGATAACACAAGGTATTAATCACTGTGGAATCTGGTGTTGACTATTTTTAATTGATTTTCTAAAGGAGCCTGTGAGGAAATCCTTGCCTATCATGTTCCAAAAACATTTCCTAAAATTCTTTCTGAGAGGTAAGCAGAAATAATGATCTCTGAACTTAATACACAGCATAACATTTTCACCGACTGCTATAAAAATCCTTCAAAATGGATGGCAAATAAAATAGGAAGTAGGTACTGCTGAGTTATGCTATTGCCCTCTTAAACTCTGATTGTTCTAGAGACTTGGTTTGTTGCTGCTGCTAAGATTAAAAAAAAATAGTGTCTTTCAATAGGTAGAAGCTATCCGTGCCATATACCGATAGTGGATTAACTTTTAACCAATTAAATTCACACATAATTTTTTGAAAATTGATTTGTAATTCAGTTTTGTAATCTACCAGAAAACATTACTTGACTGCTGAACGAACGATATAATAATTAACTACAGATTAATCTTTTATTCCTGGAGCCTGCTAGACAATCCTGGAGGGTTGGCAACCCCAATTCGTCCCTTCCAACCTCTATTCTGCTTTGTGCTTTGACAAGCTGCCATGTGAGGGACGAATCATCCTCCCCTAAACCTTGCTCTAGCTCTTGCTGTTTCATGTATATTGGGGACATCTTCCAACCCAGAACTCCCATGACTCCCACAAAATGCGTTTATAAATTAAATAAAAACATGTTCCCACAAGCAGTTGGACCTACAATGACCCAGGATTAATATCTGATGCTACAACAGTGCAATATTACCATATTCTACACTACTAGGAATACAGCCTTACCACTATAGCCTGCCTGCTGGTCTACTCTTACTGAGTATACCTTGGGTAACATGACAGCATCCAGGAGAATTGCTGCCACAGAAGTTGAGGGGATAATTATTACTTTCCCTCTTGTTTCTTGCTGAAGCCAATAATCAGTTAAGAAATGGACATTGCAACAGGGGAAAACCAATTTCAGTACTCATCATTATAAAGCTGTTAATGACTGCATTTAAATCAATGCGTATGTTTATAAATACATCTTAATGAACAGTGATCACTCAAGTAGTTAAGTTACATTTGTGACATCACACTGTTGAAAATATATTTCCTAGTTATTACTGACTCAGAGCCAGGAATACTGGATTGATTCCACCCCCTACACCCATTTGGCAAGTGCTCTAATATTTTTTCTGTTCTAAATGATTTTCTTTCACCTTACTATGTTAAAATACTTTGAAATGTAAACATAGGCATAATACATCCCCAAAATAAGAAAAATCCAAGTTTATTGTAGTACTATTTTGTTTATGTCATTTTACTCTAGTCGTCTATAGTATCTGTTTACAAACTATGAATCTTTCATCTACTATGTTTTCCTGAGGCGATAAGCATTCAGGGAACACTTGCTCCTTAAGTATAATTTTTTTGAGTGCTGATGGTTTGGGGAAGCTCTGCTGAACATTATGCTTCATTTTAAAGGACGGAATAGGTGTGGTAATATAAAATATTAGAGCTATTTTTCAGATTAAGTGTGACAATGAGGTTCTGATCACTCATGGTCTTCAGAGGTATCTTCTTGTTAGACTGGGATTGTTAAACCCCAAATTCCAATGTGAATAGTTGTGTTCTGCCTACTGAAATCCCCTTGCAACTTCAAATGGTTCAGTACTCTAGACTTCATTTCCTAAAACGGTGTGTAGCTCTTTTTGTGTTTTTAGAAATAAGTGCAGTTTGGTAGGTGAAGTGATGAGTCTTGAGAGTGAGAAAGGCAGAGTTTGTAAAGTACTTTGTGATCTTTCAGGATGAAAGGCACTATATAAATGTTGCTATTTCAAAAATCAAATTATATTGAGCCAAGTCCTGAGAGGAGCTGAACATATGCAAGTCAGTGGGAGTAGCTGCTGCAGTGGCAGAACCAACAGAGGGGCAAAGGGGATGGTCTCCCTTCCCCCACCCCAAGCCCTTTAGGTGTATGCATGGTACTTTTTCAAACACATTTTTCAATTATTCAACCTACCTCCTCCCCTCCCCCAACTCCTCTTAGTTACAAAACCTGGCTCCACTACTGTGCAACTGCTCAGCATCAATCAATTAGTTTGTCATGTGACTGTTCTCTGTGGCACTGAACAGGGAGAAAGGATAAATTCACAATATTGAATGTGCTTTGGATAGAGAAGTTCTCAATGCTCAAATTATGTACTTATGACACTTCAATATGCATTGTACAAAGATCAGTCTACCACAAAGCAGCTGATACCTTGAAATAATTTCTTACTCAGATGGAAATTTCCATTTCCAATATACTACTCTTTGCATTCAGGTCTTGAATGTTAGCAATGCTCTTTAGAGAAACCTAGTTACTGTTTCCATGAATAAGATAACAAAATGGTGTTTATCCTGTGTAGATCAATATAGTGTCTTGTTTGAACATATTGAGTCATTCAAAGACACATCTAATGAAGGCCATTTTGCTGTCATACTCACAGCACTACCACTGCTTGTGAAGAATAGCATTCTTTGAAAACGGCTACTGAATTCACTAACTAAGAATGCATATTTACTTGAGAAGGCATTCAGTTCATAACTGGAATTTTAAGGATACCTTTCACCTCCTTTTAAGGCCTCAGCTATGATTCTTCATTAACAAAGTATTCTTTCTTAAACTATTTTTTTCCAATTAATCCAGAGAGCAGAAATGTTTCGTTTTCCCCCAGGCTCTGTGATACCTGTCCTGAAAACACTTAGGGTTCTAAGCACTTTGGTTGGTTGTGTTTGCAGTACAACCTGTACTAGCAGTACAACCACAAAGCTTAATTCTGACACCCTTACATATAGTATCTATCTTCACATGGTCATAATGAAAATGATTACTACTCAGTGTCAATAGGGGTAGTAAAATGGGGAGAGAGCTAAACTACATTTAGGCTATTCAAAAAAGCCACAAATGTGGTGGGTAGTGATTACAGTCCACAGATTCTTTACAAGATGAATATTAATATAAACTAAAAGCTTGTGCACACTCCATTTACATATCTTATTTACTCTTGAAAAATAGCTTATGCATATCTTAGACCACATAATTAAGATCTTAGACCACATAATTAAATATTTGTTCATTACCAATTGTTTGGGGCTTTTGAATATGACAGAAACAATCAACACAATGCTATTACAGAAAAAACCATAAACATGCCAAAAAACTCCTTCTAAAGGTAAAGTTTGTTACTGAATCTACTCCCCTTTTTATTTTAAACATCAAAAAAATCTAAGACTTTTGATTCATTTAATAAAGAAGTCAACCTCACACCCACATGTGTGATCTTTGAAGCCTTGTATATATCTTGGGGGAGGGGGAAGGAGAAACAATTTGAGAAGCTTAATATATTAAACATTATACTTTCCCCCCCTGTTTTGATGAAGTTGTGTATATGAACTCAGGTATTTTGGAGCAGTGATTGCCTATAAAATGGAGAGTAACATTTTATAAAAGGATGAAGAAATATTGTAAAAATAGATCTTGGGAGATATACCTAGCTTCTTGGTGAAAAGATCCAATGTCCCTAATGATTAGCAATGGAAAGCTGTGATTTAACAACTCAAAAGTGAATTGTCTTGGATAAAATCTCCCTTCTCTCCCTGTCAGTCTAATTTCTTAATAGATGAAAGCGACCAACCACATTTTGCTCCTGTTCAGAAAAGGGATCACCTTTTCATTATCCGTACAGAAATGATGGCAACGTTGGGCAGGTGGAGTTCTTTGACTGCCCCATCTTGCTTTCTGGGGCTTGCAAAAGCTTTGGGGGTCACCAGCTGAAGAGCCTGGGGTATAAAGACTATAAATTGATGTGAAATCTGATCAAGAGCAAGAAGTGCAGACTCTAGCTGTTGTCACTACTATGTCTGCTTCAGCACTTTTCTGTCTGACACAACAATGAGCAATCTAGCACAGCCTGTGATGTTCAGTGGTGGTAAGCTTCCCAGAGTGCTCATGCCCTCATTGTTTCTGAGTTAGGGAAATTAACTCAAGAAATAAGCAGAACATGTGAAAATTGTGAATGCGGGTGCTTCCTATATTCTCTAACATGTGCATTAAAATTTCCCAATGGCTCCTTTGTAGAAAGCAAGCAAGCTGTAATTAAAACACTCCTTACAAATCCGAGTAAAGCAGATAGCGATGAAAGCTGCTTTTAGCTAGATAACAATATTCCCTCTTTTTAGAAACTTAAGATGGAAAAACCAAACAACATGGACTGTACCTGAGCAATTTCAGAGATCACCACCCGGAAAAGTTCTCCTTGATTATGGGGAATTTGCGACGTGTCACTCTGGTTATTCTCTAATCATCATATCAAACTCCAAAGGTTCAGCAGCCTCAGCTTGGTTTACAGTCCCTGCAGGTTAAACTTTAACTCACCCTATCTCTCAGTTCCATGCAGCCCTTTGACCAGATAATTGGGTCACTGCAGCTCAGACAATATCTACATAAACTACATTTGTTTACAAAATTCAAATTCTAGATCAGAATTTTACTTGAATAGAAGTATATAAGCTGGGAATGTAATACCATTTTGAAATTGATTACTGTTTAGTTTTTTTTATCTAATTTCCTGGTTAACTCATCCTTACTTTAAAGATCAGATTCTTTAACTTTGTTCTCTTAACAGGGTTCTGATGTAGCTCTTGAACATAGGGGTGTCCTATCTAATCTGAATGATACCTACCCAGTCTTACATACTACTTTTGTTCAGGTATTTAGCAATAAATACAATATTTAAGTCTAGTATATATCTGAATAAGAACTTTGTCCGTATTACATAACACAAGCTTTCAGTCCATAAACTGAATAGGGTCTTACAACTTAGAAAATTGATGAGTGTCACAACCTTATTTGTTCTCCAAATAAACAGAGTAATAACTACAGTGGGAAGTAGGACGAAAACACATTGCTCATTGCAAAGAAATCTCAAGGCTAATTATGTCTTTCACAGAATAACACTTATGAACATACAGCCAATATGTATGGAAATAAATTTTAAAGATCCCAAGTAGTGCTCTCTAGCAGTTGAGTTTGCACACAAAAATTTCATTGGTAGGTGCTGAAAGATGATTTCTGTTCACCCCCATTCCTCTAAGAATAAATCTCAGTTGCAAATGAACCAAAATACACAATACCTTTAAAATGCAACAGTTAAACCTTTTAAAACTATAGTTCCAGCAAGAAATAAGGGGGGTGTTAGGGGTGAGAAATGCATTGTGTTCTGGTGGTTTTAAAAAAGACCCCCAAATCCTGCACAAATCTTAAACTGCTAAAACAATTTTTCAGTTGCATGCTCCTTTAATGTAAGGAAAAACTGGCCACAGCTGCTTCTGAGCTCTGGTGCACTTCAGTCCCAAACTATAATTTGCTATGCCATCAGAAAATTTTGCTTCCAGGAGCAAATCCTTCCTCTTCTTCTTATAACATCATATGAGTGCCTATCCTATCCCAAAAGATCTTGCATTACTCTTGTCACAATGGGAAGTATTTAGGTAATAAGGACTCGCCATGGAATCCACAGTGATGAGCAGGACCAGGGGAACAATGACTAAATACCTACTGATGAGAGAACAGTGAATGCAGGCTCTTCGGGGATTATCGTTTTGAAATGTTTTATTGCCTGCATTTTAAAATAGTTGTTTTTAAGATTTCCTCTTGTAGGAAGCCATTCTCCAAGGATTTCCAGAAATGAGTAGCTCTATCCCAGTCTGCCACACTTCCTCTGATAAATGTAGAAAGATAAAAACTAGTTAGAAATTCCCATGAGCGCCCCCCTTCTTGCCTCGCCCCCATGAAATCCTCCCCATGGGAGGAATACTGAGTCATAGACAAAACAGGAAGTGGTTGATACCACTTCTTGATTAAAGTGGTCACTTATTCTTTTGCACTATGACCCAAGGCTTACATGCATCAGTGAGAATAGTTAGACAATGCAAACACCATCACATATATAAACCAACAAGAAAAAACATTGCCCCTTTGAGAAATAGCATATTTTGGAGACTTGCATGATGACTTCCCAATGGAGGAGAAATTAGTAATGCAGAGGCTGGGTATATTCTTCATGCAACTTGTCCTATTTACAAGGTCCTGGACCAGAGGTGGTTGCAAACAGCATGCAGGAAATTCCCTCTTTCAGGGTTCTCAGCTCAAATCCAAACACCTGGGTCCAAAAGAGCAACTCTACCCTAAAAGTTAACTCTAGTTAGATTAAGGAAGAGAACAATTTCCTTTGCTGCTCGGCACCTACGCTTCCCCAAGAAACTCAATAAGAAAAGCAACAACCTACAATTTTCTAAAAATTTGCTCTCCTGCTTAAAAAAACCTGTAAGACTATGTATAACAGTGCCATCTGGTGACAGCAATAATATAGCCAAGGATAGCAAATTGCTGGTATAGACCAGAGTTTTTTAACCTGTGGTCCATGGACCCCGGGGGTCAGCAGACAATGTCTAAGATTTCCAAAGGGGTCTGCACATCCATTCAAAATTCACAAATGAAAAAAGGTTGAAAATCACTCATATAGACAAAACCTAACCATCCCTATCTGTTCTTCAGATAGCTGGAACAGGCAGTACATTTTATCACTTGAGCAGATTGTAAATATTTCTCGGAGAGTGGAAAATCACTGCTTTTGAATGAATTTGCCACAGTTGGAGGCAAGTGCAAAGAGACGTGATCATGAAGTCTAACAGAAAAGTTTCCAGGTATTGTTTCCATCTGATGGCAGGCATTTGGACTGGCATAAAAGATCTCAAAATAAGAATTAGTAAGTAAAGGAAAATTTCCCTTAGATTCCCTGAAATTATGAATGAAGTTACTGTATAATGGAAAATATTTTATTTCAGTTTCAAATCTCTTTAGCACAATTTAATAGTGGAATTCAATATACTTGAATGACTTGACAGAGTGTGCTCTAATGTGAGTCACCATGTTCATTAAAGTTTAAATATATAACACTAAAGATCTAATCCTGCACATGTTTACTGCAGTTACTATTCTGTCTTGCATCAGTTAGACTGTTCAGGGTAGTAGCATTCCAATTGGTACAAATAGTAGCAGGTTTGGGCCGTAATAAGGGTTCTGGACTTTGGGAAGTTTTCTATCATGCCATTGAACTGAGCTAGTAATAAATGCGTCTGACAAAGTGGGTATTCACTCACGAAAGCTTATGCTCCAATACATTTGTTAGTCTATAAGGTGCCACAGGACTCTTTTTTGCTTTTTAGTAATAAACTAAAATTTCTAGGGTTTGTTTTCAGGAATTTCAAATATTTATACAGTTTACTGATACTTTAGAATTGGAAAAGTACCATACCACTGTTTGGCTAGTTTTTAAAGGAACTAGCCAATCTCTGCAATGTGGTTAGATAACAGAGGGGTTTACCCAAAGTGAGCAGAATCTATTTTCTAAACAGTGGAACTGAGTCATGTTAATAAGCCAAACAAATCTCACCGACACTGCATTATATTTATCAATTTGATAGTGTTGCAATGGCACAAGTTGGCAATAAAGAAATTATTTTAAAAAAAGCATAACTGGAAAAAAGCCAGGAAATTCAAAGTTCAGAGTAAAATGTAGGGACAAAATCCTTGGCACACAGACCAAGAAACCAGAACAGTACAGGTGGTGGTTGTAGTATTTGTTTAATGACTATTGAATCTTCTGGTGCATACTTATCACTAGACACTACCTCACCTCTAGCAGCACAGGCATATGCTTGTAGCATACAGTCTTGTAATATGCTTTATGCTGTTTTTATGCTTTTTGCAACCTCTAACCACTCCTGTGGGAGCATATTAAAGTTTATGGGAGGTGATTGCATGTGCATTGGAAGGGAGAACTTGTATATAAGATAAAACACATTTTCTGACTACAAAAGCAGTGCACCATGGTATCTCTAAAAGTTATTCCTATTTTTAACTCTTGAAATTCTACACAGAGTTTACACTGGAGAGTCCTGAATCCAGGCTGTTTTATTTTGGAGCACTGCAATGCAATTCAGTCATAAAGCTAAATGGCTTTCTAAATAAACATGGGTTCAAATGAAGGCTGCCCTCTTGAGAGGGAACAGTAACATCAGCACAGCAGCGGTGGGAAAACAAAGCTAGAGTCTATCACAGAGCCTTCAGCTCCATTCATCTTCATGTATTTCTATTAATAAATTTAAGTTGCCCAAAACTTGGGGGGGGGGGGATAAAATTACATTCTGTAAAATAGAAGTTGCTAGAAATGTTAACTTGTAAACATTAGTTGTCATTGATGCTAACAAATTACAGATGAGTTACGCTCATTAATAGAAGTGATTGCCCATTGAAAATAGCCCCCTTAGTCTTACAATCTTCAAGTTGGAAGCATTTTTCTTTAACATCACTTCACTGGAGACCAGATTGTTTAAAGTCATGACCTGAGGAGTCAATTGGGCCTCTCTGGAGGTGAGTATTGTCCATGAGTGCACAGCTGGGACTTCATCGCTAGAGGAAAATATGCTCATTATGTAAACTGAGAGCATATATCTTAAAATTTAAATGGATATTTGTAAAGCAAAGTATTACAGACATAGGACCAGTTGTTCAGGTGGTGTAGCTCCAGTGAAGTCTGTTTAAAGTGGGAGAAGTCAATGGAACTAACATATACCAGTTGAGAATCTAGCCTACTAATGACAATGGCAGCCTATGCTATCCCTACACACCCTTCTCTGGCAGAAATGTTAGAATTTTCATTCCTTTGAAATTTTTACTGCTATTTAAGTGGGAATCAAACACACAGGGTAAAGGCAATTGCAGGTTTCCATTCAAGGAGTTTCCTTCTCATTGTGTGACAAAAGAACGCTGGAATTCCATATGTTTAAGCTGGGATGAATAGGGGATAGGTACACAGATGCCTTATGCTTTTGTGCTGCCACTAGTCCATGCTACCATGGCAAGCCCTACAAGCCCCTTATAGGGAGGATTTCACAATATGGAGGGGAAAACATCAGGAGTTGCCTTTGCTTCAATTTAAGCTTATTGCTTCTTGTTTGATCTTCAGAGGTTAAGGATAACAATTTTTCACCCTCTTCCTTATAACAGCCTTTTATGTACTTGAGGACTTATCATGTCCCCTCTGTCTTTTTTTTTCCAGACTAAACAAACCCATTTTTTTTCAATTTTCCCTCATAGGTCATGTTTTCTAGACCTTTAATCATTTTTGTTGCTCTTCTCTGGACTTTCTCCTTCTTCCACTTCTTTCCTGAAATGTGGTACCCAGAACTGGACACAATACTCCAGCTGAGGTTATATCAGCGCAGAGTAGAATGAAAGAATTACTTCTTGTGTCTTGCTTACAACACTCCTGCAAATAAATCCCAG